CACTAAAAGTGGTGCTCTAAAGCAACCACTAATGATGTGGCACATGGCTGGTGGTGGTGGGTGGCAGGTGGTGGATAGGGGCGGTGGTGGTGGCAGGTGGGTGGTGAGTGGTGGTGGCGAGCGGTGGATGATAGTGTTGAGTGGCGGGTGGGTGGTGGGTGGTGGTGGCAAGTGGGTGGCGGGTAGGTGGTAGGTGATGGTGCGGGTGGTGGTAGGTGGTAGTGGCGGGTGGATGGCGGGTGGTGGTGGTGGTAGACGGTGGTGGAAAATGGTGGCGCGTGGTGGCTAGTGTTGGGTGGTAAAAAAAAAATAAATAAAAAACTCAAAACATAAACTTATTTTTTGAGTTTATATTTTTTGACCAAATTTATAAACTAAGACCATTGATTTATAAATTAAAAATTTATTAGATAAATTTTCATTTAATTTTTTAAAATTTTTATAAATATAAGAAAGTGTTACCAAACCCCACCTTGCTAAACGAGGCTGGCTTACAAACAAACAAGAGTCGTAATTTAACAACAGATCAAGGCGGCCATCGTCAACGACCCTCCTCCGATCAACATGAAGCTCTCGTTTTCTCTCTCTTCAAAACCCTCTTCGAAGCAGCAGCAACAACAGCAACCTAACTCCAAACCCTTACAGAAATTCAACACTGACGACGACGACAACCGAGACTCAGCAAACAAAGAGTACCTGACAGAGTTCGACGCTTCCAAATCCCTAATCGAATCCCAAAATTCCAAGAAGCTCGTCATCCCTCCTAAGCCCAACGAATGGCGTCCTCACAAGAAGATGAAGAACCTCGATCTTCCTCTCCAATCCTCCTCCTCCACTCCTCAAGATCTCCAATTCGAGCTCGAATCCACCGCCACCACCGACGCTGACCCCAACAACATGTCCTACGGCTTGAATCTCCGCAATTCCAACACTGACGATGCCAACAATTCTGAATCTGATGATGTGAAGCCACAGCCTCAGCCTCAGCCTCAGCCTCAGCCTCAGCGACCAATCCCTATAGAGTCTGTGATGTTGCATAAATTGAAGGAAGATTTGAAGCGCTTGCCGGACGATCGCGGTATCGATGAGTATGCTGACATGCCCGTTGAGGGCTTTGGTGCGGCTTTGCTCGCTGGCTACGGTTGGTATGAAGGTAGAGGAATTGGGAGGAATGTGAAAGATGATGTCAAGGTTGTGCAGTATGAGAGGAGGACTGCCAAAGAAGGGTTAGGGTTTGTTACTGACATGCCCGTTATTAACAATAATAATAACACTAGTAGTAGCAATGCTATGAACAAGGAGAAGGAGTTGAGGGATATTAGAAGAGGAGGAGAAGAACAAGAAGGCCGGTTTCGTGTGGGTAAAGATGTTAGGATAATTGGTGGCAGGGATATTGGGTTGAAGGGTAGGATTGTAGAGGTAATGGGTAATGATTTGGTTGTTTTGAAGCTTTCGGGGTGGAAGGAGGAAGTGAAGGTGAGAATTGGCAATGTTGCAGAGTTGGGTTCAGTGGAAGAAGAAAGATGTTTGAGGAAGTTGAAGGAATTAAGGATTCAGGGTTCGAAAGGTGAAGTCAGTGGCAGTGATGTTGATGGGAAGAGGGTTAAGGATTGGCCAAGTGGTCGTCGTCGAAGTCATAGGCAAAATAAGGAGGAGGAGGGGATTGAGGAGCAAAGGAAAGATGACAAACATAGTCGAGAAGAAGGAAGAGGAAGTCAACCAAGAGAAGAATTGAGAACTACTAATCAAGTTCGTTGGCTTTCTAGTCATATTCGGGTTAGAATTATTAGCAAAGACTTGAAAGGAGGGAGATTGTACTTGAAAAAAGGTGAGGTTGTTGATGTGGTTGGACTTACGACGTGCGACATATCTATGGATGATACTAGGGAGCTTATTCAGGGTGTGGACCAAGACCTTCTTGAGACTGCACTTCCACGGCGTGGGGGACCAGTTCTTGTCTTGTATGGGAAGCATAAGGGTGTCTATGGAAGCTTAGTGGAGAAGGATGTGGAGAATGAAACTGCTGTTGTCCGTGATGCTGATACCCATGTGCTGCTTGATGTGCGACTGGAGCAAATTGCCGAGTATATTGGAGACCCAAGCTATATTGGGTATTAGTTTTGTATGCAGCGACCACAATTTAGCATCTATATGATGATGGCTGGTCTTCTAATTTAGAAGGTACTTTGAACTCAATGTTTTATGTTAATTCATAGGTCTGCACTCCATATTCTAGGGTGTGGTGCACAACTACATGATTTGAGTGGCTATTTAATTTATATCCTGCTGTCCGTATACTTTTTTTTCACATTCATTGTAAGTGGTACAATGAATTTGGTGTTTTCATCATAAAAAGCATAGTAGTAGGGAAGTTTCTCTTGCCCATTGTGTTGTATTAAAACTGGTGGTATTCACTGTTTTGTGAGAAATCTGGCACTGGTAAATTAATTCTTGTTACAAAAAAAGAAGAAGAAGGTACTCAAAAGTTCTGAACTGATGTCTACAGTTTACTCATATTGCTTGTAGAACAATTGTATGAAAGTTGAATTTGATCTTACAGTATAATTAATGGTTGCCTGCTACTATAGTTGGAGCCATTGTAGGGGTATCACATACATAATTGAGGTTAATTTTGAAGGGAATAGATATTGAATACTTAATGAGATTATCGTGACAAGGACAAGGGAAAGATGAAGAAGAATGCTAGTGATGTAGTGAAGAAAAACATGGTGGCTTAGGTTCCGATTTGAAAATATGGCTAAGGATTCATATTGTGGATTCCAAAGAGTTGATACAAGGGCTTTGTATGATTAAGATATGTTGAACTTTGAAAGGCATTCTAAAGTTACGGGCTATATGTTGTCCTTGAGCCATAACTTATGACCTTTTTTCATAAGCATATAAATATTATAGATTACTGAAAGTGCTTCATGGGGGTGAATCTATCTATATACTCAAAAAGGTCAAAGCCCGGACACGCTACATATCCACATGCATGTACAACTCAAATATAAACTGCACAAAAGGCAAAACCGAAAAAGGACAATTGTCTCTCAACCAAATAATAAAAAAATAAAGAAAGAAGCAATGATCATTTCAAACTACACAAGGTTGTTAAACTCTCTCAAATGATCTCTTATTTCAATCCCTCTGCATAGTCCAAAAAATGAACAAAACTAGTGTGTCCCAATTCTTCCTTTTTGGCTTACTTGAACATGAAAAATCCCAAGAAGCAAGTAGCTTACTCATTGAAGATGGCATCATTCGTACCCTTGATGGTTTGTAACACTAAGTGGCTAACCTATACCTTCGGCCTTCTCCTACCAGTGTATCGTACATTCTTTAACTATGTAATTATCAACCTTGTTGCAATTGATCAAACCATCTTAGCTGATACCCTCATCCTATCTTTGTTTGAATTTTAATTAATGTATTATACCCAATATATATGTTTCTTGCCACTTATTATCATCTTAACTTTTCTATCTTTGCTATATCATCTTCCTTGTTTACCAGTTATTTGTTCTATAAATTCAGGACTCTAAATTTCGATATAGTTAAAACCAAACCAAACCAAACGAAATGAAGATAAGCTTCCAATCAATTGGGGTTGGTCACATGAATCATTTTCTATCAGTTTCATTTTGTCAAGGGTTATATGCTTTGTTAAATCAAATAAGTTCATAATTTTTCAGCACACTATTCCATATCAGTTTAGGATTTTCTGTCCCTCTTGCATTTTCATTTACAGTGATCATATCACTTTTTCTTATTGTTGCATTTATCAATTGTCATTGTACATGACTAATCTTATTTTGTTCTTTCTCAACTTATTTTCAATTAGTGCTACTCTTAAGCCTTCTTAGCTTCGTCATATCTGCTACATTATTTCTATTAATGTGTTGTTTTTGAGTTGCCTGACATTCTATCCTATAAAGTATCATTGTACTTATAACTGTGCCCTCAATTTTATTATTTTCAATTTTGTTGATATCCATCGATTGCATAATATGCCCGATGTTATTTTAGTTGAGAGACATGCTGATTCACCAAGGTTTCTTTGGGCTTAGGCATGAGGCGAGGGGCGTGTTATAGATATTGCATAGTTTTCCATGAGTTGGAAAATATATTTTATGTTTTATCTACTATGTACCAATGTCATATTGTGTTTTTACATGATATTATACCATTCTAACACATTACATTGTACTTTATAACTTGAACTATATCAACAATTTCAAACGAAGTGAATTAAAATCATGCAAGTAAATAATTTGAAACTGTTAAACAATTAAGAAATTAAGTAATTAATTAAATAATTAAACCATCAAGCAATTAAGAAAAGTAAGTAATTAAATAATTGAGCAATTAAGTATTTAAACAAATTAGGTAAATAAAATAAACGATTAAGTAATTTTTTGGTAAATTAAGCATATTAAGTCATTGAATTATAAACATTTAGGTTGCAAATTACTGTATGGCCATTGTCACCATCCTGAGGAAAAAAGGTAAAACAAAAAAAATGGTATGCAAGTCGAAATATAAAAGCTTTGATATGTAATTTTAATTTGTTGACTTAGGGTTGATACTATCTACTTGTTTGGGAGGCTTGGATAGGATGTGCCAACATATAAAATTATAATAGGCTTCACTTGGTTGAAAGAGTAGTATTACACCTTTAACAAATCAAGCATGATTGCAAGAGAGCGCCACAAACATGCTTCATTAAAGTTAGCTTCCTTTAGACCATCTTCAACGGTGAATAAAAAATTTCATCAAATTTGAGTAAAATTATAATGAAAAATTTGATTTGATACCGTTCACTCCAATGTTAAACCTAGAATTTTCATCAAATTTTTTCATATCCTCGGTTGTTTGGGAGGACGTCTGGACGGATGTCCTGGAGGTCGTTTGGAAATGAACACAAAAGTTGTCAAAATTGCTCTTGGTGGACATCTGAGTGGACATCTTGGAGGATGTTCAGGCCAACGGTAAATTTAAATTTGATGAAAGATGAAAGATGAAAGGCTCCTCGCGTCTAGGTGCACGCCTAAGCACACTTTTGATAACATGAATATGCCAGAAGCACTCCACTTCAACCAACCTACTTTGATTGTATGCGTCACATCATCTCCCTCCTTTCCATCCTTATTAATAATCAATCCTATATAACAAAATTGTTTACTCTTTGGTATCCTGGTTTTGATCTTCACTTATTTATTTTTTATTTTTTTCTATTCTCATTCTGTTGTTACTAAAAGTTACATTCTATAAATTTAATGTAGCCCTACATTTTTGAAACCCTTTTGACTCCGTGTTTGTTTCTAAGTTTCTAATTTAGAGTTAATTCCTATTGTAGTTTCATCTACTACGTCAATATCATTTGCAGATAACGTACACTATGAGTGACATCATCCTGAAATGTGGCTACTTAATTATCCATAACCTGTGTTACATGGACTCGGCACTTTGGGATGAAGTACCCGTGTCGACACGACACGACACGACACGGGTGCGGTTGTGGGATCTGTGTCGGATTCGGCTATTCTATCTTGGACACGGCTCTTTACCGACAGCAAAAGAAATGAAAGAGGATAGGGCAAGAGAGAACCTGGTTGAAGCTCCATCCAGTCGATCCAGTGGAAATCGAAGATCGACGACCTCCCGTTGAAGATCATCCGGTCGATCTAGTCGAAGATTGAAGCTCCATCAGTCGATTGAACAGTCGAACACCCTAGACGACTCTCTCTCTCTCTCTCTCCCTCGCGATCGTAATCGCGAGCGATCGCTTCGCTTTGCTTCTCTCCCTCTCTCTCTCTCTCTCTCTCTCGTTTTATTCTTGACTTTACTGATTGACATCTCTGCCTCTTGATTCACATCTATATTTATTCGTATATATCTATATAAAATAATAATAGTTAACTATTATTATAATAACTATAATAATAACAATTATTATTATATATTATATAATAATTATTGTATAACATATAATATAATTATAAGATAATATATATTTATATATATTAATAAAAATAAATAAACACATATGTAAAATAATTATTTGTTATTTATATAATATAACTCATCTTAATAACTATATTTAAAAAAAAAAAAAAATTAACGTATCCCCGTACCCGTATCTAAATTTGGATACATATCCACGTATCCTTAATTTTTAATTTTGAAGTGTCCGATCCCTAGATACGCACCCGCACCCGCACCAGCACCCGATACCCCGTACCCGCGTCCGTGTAACATAGTCCATAACCAAGGCAAATAGGCCAGGAGTCAAGGCTGATCCTTTTCTACTGTTAAAGTGATCTAATTTTGGCAAAAACCTTATCATAAATGTCCTTTATCGCATTCACTTGCGTTGTCTATAATGCCCACTATATTATATCTCTAAACACGCTATGTAAGTGTTTTATGAAGTCATAAAAATCATATGAATCTCTTTTCCTTCTCTTGGTACTTTTCTGTTAATCTCATTAGTAAATATAGCTCTTTCAAATGTAAATCCAAACTTATTTTTTGATATTATTATTGCAACTCTCAATCACTAATCAATCACTCTCTATTACAATTGCATTGTTTGACTAATCAACTTAATGCCTTTATAATTGTTGCAATTTTAGATATCTTCTTTATTAATTTTTTTAACTATGGGTGATACTATATTTTTTCTTCTCTCGTTGGTCATTTTACTAGTTATTAGACCCTTGTTAAATAATTTTATCAACCAATACACCTCCTCACCCAAACATTTTATAGCCTCAATAAGGATACCATCTAATCTTAATGTCTTACTTGATTTCATCTTCTTTTGTGCAAATTCTATCTCAAACTTCCTTATTTTACGATAACCAATTACCTTCACTTAGAATGATTTTGACTTTACATTCTCCAATGATTTTGACTTTACATTCTCTATGCCCTTACTTGATCCCTATATGTAGAGGCTAAGACGCATGAACACTTCTAAGAAGGTGGTGTATTCATGTTGGACACCGACACTCATCGTACACTTTTCGACACATGTTCGATACTCATCATAACGTGATCTATTTTTAAAATTTTTTTTAGACCCAACACTTGGAGGACACACATGTCAATTGATTGGACATGCATAAAACTTATTATAAGTTTAAACAAAGTAACTTAGAGTATAATAATAAAAC